CTCAGCAACTCTGTATAAATATGCAATGGACGAGATTCTTCAAGAATTGCTGACAGACCAACCCGGATGAAGTGTAGATAAGGATTACGTGGACTACGAGACAGTGGTGGCCGGCTCATTAGTAGAAGCGAAGACCATGGTGTTCTTATTAGATGCACAGGCAACTGCCAGTGTCGGCAGTGTTCATCTGCCCATAATATTAGCGGCTGTGCGAAACTCGAGAGTTAACCTCAAGGTAGAACGAGAAGAGTGAATCCCGTAACCGATCAGTGAGCATTAATGAACCAATAAAAATAACCTCATCTAAGGCGAAGATAACAATCCCTGGTTTTGCATTCAGAGTTATGGCAATTATACAGTTATGTCGGTAGGGATATATCTTAGGGCCGCCCAATGGCAAAAGTCTCCTAGCGCAAGTGCCTGACGGAATTCGCGGTTAAAGGTTTAATGTTTGATTATTGAAAGCTAATGCGTGGTAAGTGCAGGATAGAAAATAGATTAAAGTCGCTTGTAATTGTCTAAACTAAAACGAAGGTAAAAAAGGTTTCGTAAAGAACAAAAAGACCCAAAAAACTATAAGAACAATTACTATTGATTAGCAAATATAACCTATAAACCAAGAAAATTATAAAAACGCTTCCTGTTGGTTAACAAAGGAAACATATAGACCAAGAACACTATTAAAGCAACTCCAATTACCATTAGGCGGCCCCACTATGAATCCCTGCCGTTATGTAAAAGTTCTTGGGTTAGCAGACAGTTTCTACAGTGGAGCCTCGGGTGACGAGCAGCCCCATCTACGAGAATGTCTGGTAACGAGCGAGTCACTAGCAGACAATTTATTTCGATTGACAAACTTCCGTTCAGTTAATGAGTTGTCAGTGCACGTGTGTGCCTGTGTCAACCGTCAAGTATTGCTCCCAGGGCGTGTATTCTACGTCACCTGCAGCCAATCAATTTACTGATGTAGTATGATTGGCTACGCTTCGCAAGATGAGCTCGGGGCCGGAACGGATTAAAGTCATTAAATGAGATTCCACTGTGTTGTCCCTTCTGCAAAAAGGTCAAGGTAAAGAGGAAATGGACTATCAAATCAGCTAAGAACACGTGAAAACCGCCAATGGAGAATACTATGCTAGTGAAGATTGGTATGATAAAAGTCAGATGAATAGTTAGCTAAAAAAGACGGCCTAATTAAAAAAGAGTAGAAAAGTGGAATGTAGGCAGCTCAAGTTTTCTGCGAGGAATTGCAATCTACCATCTGTTTTTTTGTTACTAGCGTATGATAACGATTTACGAAAAGCTTCAGCAATTAGGTAGTTCACTAGGCAACTTCATCAATTGGAAAGACATCTGCCTGCTCCCTTTATAACAACTAAGTCTTTTTGCGTGATGTGACGCGATTGAGGCGGTACACCTTAATCGAACTTCAGGGTAACACAGAAATAAAATATAAAAAACGAAGAACTAACTTGCGTACGTAAGAAGCTGTACAATCTCGCTGGTTTGTGACTACATTCACTTAAACGGAAATTCTGAATAGTAGTATGAGGGTTGGATAAATATTAATTATAAAAGTGGACTTTATGAGCACAAAAGGGGTATGTTCAGAAGCAAACTTTTAAAACAACTTTGAAGGTTTTACAACTTTAAAAAAGGTTTGACCCAAAACTGCCAGCGTACCGCCACCAGCATGGGACTCGGACTTCTCTTCGGAACGGGGACCAAGTGAAAAGGAGACACGAGCATCTACAAGCGTAAAGATGAGAACACTCAGAGCACGCGGAGACCGTCAAGGTAGAACACTGGGCTGGTGCATATTGGTATGGTAAAAGTCAGATGAATAGGGTTTACTAACAAAGACGGCCAAATAAAAAAAGTGGAAGGCTGGCTTAATGTTTCTGGACGAAAGAAGCCCGCAATGGAGGCAGCTAAAGTCCTCTGCGATGAACTGCAAAGTTTAGTTGACCCAATTGCGAAAAAACTTGCGGCCGCAAAGTGATACGTTTATTCAAACGCACCCCCTGCCATCTGTCTTATTTTCTCCCTAGTGGATGCTAACGATTTGCGGAAAGTTTCAACATTTAGGTAATTCACTAGTCAAGTTAACCAATTGGAGAGACATCTGCCTCCCGCTGCTAAGGTTAAGTCTAGCAGTGCGCTGCGACACAATTGCCGCGGTACATCCTGTGTAAAAAACGAAGCCTAGCTTGTTTACCTAAGAGATACTTCATTTAAACTGTAATTCTATGGTTGGAGAGAGAGAGATTTTCATTGTAAAACCGGACTGGATCAGAACAAAAGAGTATATTCAATCTTTAACTAGGAGGTATGTTCCGAGGCAGACTTCCAAAAAACTGTAGAAAAGGTTCGACCTGGAACTGTGAACGTACCATCGGCAGAATCAGACTCAGCCGTTTCTTGGGAATGGGGACCAAGTGAGAAGGAGACACGAGCACCTGCAAGCGCAGAAGGTGAGAGTTCTCGTCGTTTGATCCCCCGATCGGAGTCTAAAGTACCTTTACCAATTTTCTGTCGCCTTTTCATTGCAAAGTAGTCCTTCAGGTCAAGTGCACTGGAGTAGGTCTTAATGCCGAAATCCAGGTGGATGTTTGCAGGATCCTGAGTTGTACCGGTGGTGGTGGTGGGAACAGCCATATCGTCTACCGACTGCGCAGGCCTGTCGGGAGCACTGAGCGGTGTTCCAAGAACTATCTTGAGGGACTTCTTTGAATATTGAGATACGTCTTTGGCACGAACAAATTTGCCATAGTGCACTCGGGATCGGCTGTTTTTCGACTTATTTTCCAGGCTCGTCTTCGTACTGGAAGTCTGCGGCGTGTGCTTACTCAGCTTC